AAGTGTTCCAAATTATCATTTTGTACATAATAAACTTACATATCACATATGTCAATATACTTCAATACAGGTGGGAAAAAAGTCAACACTGTGTTATCTCAAGGTAGGGAATGAACTAGAAAGTGGCATAAAACAATCTGTGGGTGACAAAATTACTTTATTTCTTGAGTGCTGTGATAGTTAAATGAGTGAATACATTTGTAGAAACTCACAAATAACTTACACTTAGAATATCTTAATTTTATTTATGTAAATTATTATTTAATTTAAAAGTAAGATGAAGAAAAATGTACACAAAAAAGGCAAATTGAGACGTTCCCCCTAAGGCAACATTATAAAAAGCAGATCAACAAAATATATTCAAGGAGCTCAAAGTATGTCATTAAAAATTGTGCAAGAGAAAGTAAAGAAAAAGAACAAATTTTTTTGACAGACCTAATACCAGGAGAGCAAAACAGAAAAAAACAACAACTGAAGGTAACAGCTTAAAAATCAACTGACCAATCTGAGAAAATCAGCTAAAAAAAGAAAAGCATACAGTTTCCAGTTAAGAGCTGAATACACCCCTCTAGGTCATCACAGAACACCTGACTGGGCTTCCTGTATTATAGAGCAACTTCTCATCCGCAATCTATTTTACAGATGATAATGTATACAGACCTATGCTACTTTCTCCATTCGTCTAGAGGGATGAGACAGGGGGAAAGGAGGGAGCCTCAACAGGGAGGTGACATATGACTGATTTGCTTTGTTGTGTGGCAGAAACCATCATAACTTTGTAAAGTAATTTCCTCCAATTAAAAAATAAATTGAAAAAAATAGTTAAATACATCCTAATGACAACACAAGAGGGAGCCCTATGGTTACAAAACTCGGAATACCAGCCTCCCCTTCTAGGAGCACAAGAAAATCAGTTTCACAGAAACATGAAACATGAAAGACTATGTTCAGATCCCATATAAAGTTATTACAGGAAAAAGGCCAAGCAAAACAACATTGCTACAGGAAGTAACTGCCTTTGTAGTGTTTGTAGTGAAAACCAGGCTGCACTGTGCAGATTCTATTTGAAATAAAGGATTTGTTGCCCCAGCTGATGGCAATGATGTAGGTAGGCATGCTTCAGCTGTCTGCCTCTCCAGGCTTTTTGACAGTAACATGACACCTCAACAAAATAACCATCCTTTCTGTAGCAGGCACCCTCAAACATTGATTATCACAGTTTTATAAACCCTTGGGCATATTGGCCCAACCCAGGACACCTCTACAGAGCTCACCATCAGATCAGTTGATCCTGACACTAGGAATGCCTTTAGCTTGGCTTCTCTCCCTGCCCAGTACATTCCCCTCATTGCACAGGTGTTAATTCCAAGCACTTTTAAATACATATTCTACATTCCAAGGGGTCTTAGAGTATGCTTCTCAGGGAACACAACCTGCAAAAGCCTGAAAGATGTATTCATAAAATAGGTGAAAACTAACCAATTATTTCAAAATAAGCTAAAAAAAAAAAAAAGTGATCAAAGATGTGAAATAACAACAAAGGTCAGAATTCTAAATAATTTTGTTATGCATGGTTGGAAAAACAGACATTTGTGGAAATAGGAACATTAGGAAGCACCTAGAAATGAAAGAAAAACCATTTATTTCATCAATAAATCTAAACCTGGAGGAAAACAAGACTGAATAAACATGCTGGAAATAGTAGATGTGAATAGAGTGAAAAAAATAGAGAAAAAGATAAAAATAATTCTAGAGACTATATTTTCTAGAATACTATTGTTAAAAAGTTTGTGACCAGGCAAATACTAATGCCGATATTAAAAGCTACAGTGCTTTTTTCTGCTGGAGAAGAAGGAAAGAGTAATGAGGTGTTAGTAATACTGTACTTTTGACCCATTTATGTTCACTTGATGATAATTTATTGACATACAAATCATTATTTGTACACTTTTCTGCCAAGGTGTTTTGTTTCCATAAAAAAGCAATTATAATATAATGTTCTTTCATGAATATGGTTTATTTTAAATGAGGATATTAATGTTAATATTTCTTTTCTATGCATTTCCTATTTTTTTTTTTCTTTCTGAGAACTGTTTGTTTTTATGTTTTGACAAAGTCTTCTTCAAATGTCTGGCAACCCTTGGTTGTTCACATGCATTCCAGATTAAGGCAATAAAAAGTGAGATTAGAAGCTCTCTGTATATGAGTGTTCCTTGTGAACTGATGGGCTCCATTATAGGAGAATCAGGCAGAGAAACGTTACCTATTTAGTTGAGGTAGCCTCTAACTTCCAGGCACCTCCTGCAGAAAGATATTCTTCTGTTTCTTAATGGAACTGTTTAAGACTGGCTGTCAACCTCCTGGGATTTGAGCGTGGGAAACAATCTGGGGATGCTCCAGGTTACAAGAGCACTCACATCCAAGCCTCTGTGTTCAGTATGAAGTGAAATGAAGTGAAGTGAAGTCGCTCAGTCGTGTCTAACTCTTTTCGACCCCATGGACTGCAGCCTACCAGGCCCCTCCCATGGAATTTTCCAGGCAAGAGTACTGGAGTGGGTTGCCATTTCCTATAGCTCCTCACATTTGCCTCAGAGCTGCCTTATAGCTCTAGTCCAGAATTCCCCTAATTTAATTGCCATAAAACAAAATCTCCACTCCTACTACTATGGCTGGAAGAAATATTAAGTCATGCTACTCAAATGACAGTCTGCTGCCCAGTGCCAATCTGTGAGCTCTAAGATGGGTATATGAATTGAATGTGAGTATTAAGCAGTTTATAAAATTTTATATTATTGAAGCATCTAATCAGTGGACACACCTCTTGAAGAAGCAAATATAAAAATTTATTTTTTCATTTCATTTTTATAATTGTTCATTTTTATCACATTTTGCTGAAGTATTGGCTTGTAATCAGATGGAAAAATAAAACTAACTGCTCCCTCATGGCAGATGATTTGAGAAGCTCTGTTTGAGGATCTGTGTTCTTTGAAGTGAAGTGAGAGTTAGTCGCTTCAGTCATGTCCGACTCTTTGCAACCCCATGGACTGTAAGCCCACCAGGCTCCTCTGTCCTTGGGATTATCCAGGCAAGAATGCTGGAGTGGGTAGCCATTCACTTCTAGGAATTTCCTGACCCAGGGAACAAACCCGCATCTCCAGCACTGCACGCAGTTTCCTTATGGTTCGAGCCAGCAGAAGACTTTACACCAATCTTACTCATTTTGTGTCCTCTGAGAATCTCAGTTCTGAGGATGATGGTCAGACACAGCTCTGTGCTGTGAATTGGTTGCTTTTAGTTGATTTAGTACCTTGTGTCAGTCTATTTTCAGCACTGTCTCTTCTCCTTGGAACTCTTTTTTTTTGCTTCTATATATTTCTTTAATATCTTCTGTGCATTATCCTTTCCTGTTGGGCTTCTTTATGAGTATATGTGTATATATATACATATATATATTACTCCTGCTATAATTTTGGTAAGTTTAGGGGTAGAATGCAGAAGGCAATGGTAACCCACTCCAGTACTCTTGCCTGGAAAATTCCATAAACAGAGGAGCCTGGTAGGCTGCAGTCCATGGAGTCACTAGGAGTCGGACACAACTGAGCGTCTTCACTGTCACTTTTCACTTTCACGCATTGGAGAAGGAAATGGCAACCCACTCCAGTACTCTTGCCTGGAGAATCCCAGGGACAGGGGAGCCTGGTGGGCTGCCGTCTATGGGGTCGCACAGAGTCGAACACGACTGAAGCGACTCAGCAACAGCAGCAGCAGCATGTGGAGAGGACTGCACACAAGGAGCTGAATGTGTCTGAAATTCAGGTCACATGAGTGATGGGAAAGGATCATATTATCATCATAGCTATCTCAAACACATGTTAACCAAGATTAACCCTCCTGGGTGACACAAGAGACAGAAAGTACAAAAATCACAAAGAGACAAATGTCAGGTTAATTGTGGGGAAATGACAATGAGAGCTGAAAACAACAGGAATGTACATTTTGTGATACCCATTCAGGGCAAGCTGGTTTCCTTGGAGATATTGATGACAGGAATTTCCAGACAGCTGAGAGGTAAGATGAGATAAATACCCAAGGTGTTCACTGTCTTATACATTCAGATGGCAAATTTGAAACTAGGAGCTCTTCTTAATAAATTTAGTGTAAAATACCACAGAGACATCTTTTCAGCCTGAGGCAGGATTAGCTGGCTAGTATTTCTTGTTCATGTATATGGCATATCTTTTCATTGCATAAGTAGTGGTTCAAAGGAGTGACCAAAAAAGGCATTGAGAAACACCATTTTTTGAGAGTCGAGGAAATAAAGGGTCATTAGAGAAATGTATAAAGCCTTGTTTGATATGTTATTAGAGGCTATGCAGCTTTACATATTACTTATGCTTTTAAAAAAAAAAAATCTTATCCATTAGATGCAGGGGAAAAAAAACTTAGTTAAAAAAAGAAAATCATATTATCCCTATTTTCTGTATTTTTAGATTCAGAGAACAACTGTAGTTATATGAAAGTCATGACCTAACCAGTGTCAACCTAAAATCTTCTAATTATTAGTACAGTAACATTTTACTGTCATCAAGTCACACTCCTAGATCCAAAGTGCCTTCTGGCCCAAGCACCTCATTATAAACTGGATGCAATCTTTAACAAAAAAAAAAAAACCATAAAGATTTTTGGCAAACAAGCCAAACATAGGGCAAGAGATAATGGCTATTAAGACAGTTTTGAGAACCATTAATCTGGGAAAAGAAGAGTTTGGAAAGTTATGTTAAAGTGACAGACACTTTGCTATCTCCCTAAATCTTTGCAACAACCTTGAGATAAACATATTACTAAGATTGCTTTACATAAAGAATGTTAAGGCCCCACAATATCAAGCAACTCATCCAAGGCTATACAGTTACATAGATAAATAGATTAGAAACTTTTATGACTTAAACAGTTAGTGATACCTTTGTCCCAAATGTGTGTGTATTTGAAAAATGTTGTAATTATAAAGTCTTAATAGAAAACCCCTTCTTCACAATCATTTTCCGAATGGCCAGCTGTACATCTTTGTTTCTGAGGCTGTATACCACAGGGTTCAACAGTGGGGTGATGATGGTATAGGTCACTGTCACCAGCCTGTCTTTGCCTGATGTATTAATATGTTTGGCTGGGGGTCTCAGGTAGACAAAAGAAGCACAGCCATAGTGGACAATGACCACAATGAGATGGGAGGCACAGGTGGAGAATGCTTTTCGCTTGCCTTCAACTGATGGTATCTTAAAGATAGTAGAGACAATAAATCCATAAGAGATGCAGATGAAGATCAAGGGCACAATAAGTGCTAAGACTCCACAGATAAAGATGACAAGTTCGTTAATGTAACTTCCAGCATAGGCAAGATGAATGACTGGTGAAATATCACAAAAGTAATGGTTGACCTTGTTGGAGCCACAGAAAGGGAGGCTAAAGACCAAAGTTGTTCCCAACAGAGATATTAGGAAACCACTAACAATGCAAGTTGATGTTAGTTGCCCACATACCCTCCAGCTCATGAGAATGGGGTAGTGCAAAGGCTGACAGATGGCAGCATAGCGATCATAGCCCATCACTCCCAGAAGCAGGCAATTGGTGACAGCAAAACCAAGAAAGAAGTACATCTGTGAAGCACAACTCACAAAGGACAGTGTCCTGAACACCGAGAGCAGATTGATAAGCATCTTGGGCAGGATAGCAATTGTGTAGAAGATCTCAGAGGTAGAAAGAACACATAGAAAGAAGTACATGGGTGTGTGGAGGCTGTGATCCAAGCAGATGACTGAGATGATGGTGATGTTTCCACTCAAGATGATCAAATAGAGGCAGAGAAAGACCACAAAGAGGACAAGCTGCAATTCCCCAAGGCTGGAGAAACCCAGCAGGAGGAACTCAGTAACACAGGAGGAATTGGCCATGGAGAATTGCTCCTACAGAATAAAGTCAATATGATCAAGTCCATAGACCATTGGAGGTGAGAAATCAAGGAGACTTACCCTTCATAAAGTAGCCATTCTGGATATGAAAGAGAAACAACAGGATTGTAAAGTAGCCAAATATCCTAAATTAACATGCACCCACAGTGATAACTTTCTGCTAATGATTTTAGCAGTGAACCTGGGGACATGTGTTTACATATAATGTACAGATCGTTGCTCAAATAAAGCCTATTCCTCAGGCTTCGAAGACTTACATAGTCCCAACTTGCAAACATATATAGTTTCTGTTTAGGTCTTTTATTTTTTTTGATAATTTAATTCTTAAATGTTCTTTATATGTAATAATTATTATTTCAAGTGATCATCATTTCATTCATATTACTGATACAAGTATTCTATAAACAATAGCACCAATATCTGAAAATCTACTTCCCATTTGCTTTTAATACATTCCTCATCTAGGGCAATATCTATTGAACTGTTTTGTGTTGCTTGTTCATGAGCAATGAAAGGAGAGTTTCCTTTCATTGCAAATCACATACCCCATTTTCATGCAGTTTTCATTAAAATTAATTTGGATTAGAACTACAGATGCTGTCTTGGAACTAGTTTTACGATTTTGCTACTTACTCTTATAAGACATTAAGCTTGATTACCTCTTACAGAAAATGAGTGGCTAGAATAATTAAGTTTTGCTTCAGTATTCATTGGTTGCCCACTTGGTTATATATCTTATCCTTGATATAACTGACTTGAAAACCCAACAGTCTATTGTTCCCAGTTCTGTCTATGAATTCTTGAGCAGGGAGGCTCAGATACATTCCCTAAGGCTTCTGATACAGTTCTTATTGTTGGTACTAGATTATATATATTTTTAATTAAAACATTTTATCCGCTCCCACTTCACACTTAAATCTGTTCCTTTATCTGTATTCTCTATCTCAACAAAACTTTTCAAAATCCTCTGTTGTAAATTTCTGAGGAATATTTAAACACTTAAAAATTTTCATCCTCCAATTTGTTTCTATCTGCAGTACTTCTAAGATCCATTTCTTTCCCTCTGCCAGAAATCAGCTCTTACCTGAACTATTACCCAGAGCATTATGAATGGGCTCCCAGGATTCCACTTGGTCTCACTCTAAGCCAGCTTCCACAATAGCAATACAGTTTTCTTTCAGTAGGACAAATTCTATCTTATTAATAAGCTCAATAATTCACAATTATCAATAAAATTAAAGCAACTGTATTTTCTCTTTCATATTTTCTCAAATTTACCTTTCCACTCATAACTTCCAACACATATTTTTTTACCTTATCCTTGAGAAAATGCATTTAGGCATTGAGAATACTTGAACAGTTATGTCATTTTTCGTATCATCCCCTACATCTGGAAATAGTCTATGCTTTATATTTATTGTTTTCCTTCTTTTCTTTTGAGGAACTTCCTTAAATTCCCATTTAAAATAACACATGCTCATCGATCCTTCCTCCAACTTCCTAATCATGTTTTATAGCTTTCCCTGCATTTCCTTAGCAATCACTAGAATCTTACTTCTTTTGCCACTAGTATTATATATTCATGTTTATCTACAAATATAATAACTTGCCTGAGACAGAAAATGCATCTCAACACTTACCATGGTGTCTAGTACATACCAGTTACTTGAAAATGTGTTGAAACAACAAATGATCAATGATTCCAGTTTCTTTTCTAAATTATTTCAAAACTCAAAAGGTAGATAGCATTTGATTTCATAGATTTTCTATACTTGTTCCACTGATATTAATTTACCATACAATATTAACCTTTTGCTTCAAAAATTTTGGATAAAAAATCTAACATAGTTATCTAAATGCAGACACAAATCATACATTAAAAATTGTTGTCGTCTCATTTTCTTTTCTAATTACCAAGTGATTTTCTTCATTATCTGCTTAACCAAACTTCTCCATTTTAATTTTAAAAGAACTTTATTGATGGCTTTAAAGTATTTTAAGGGTTTCCCTTGTGGCTCAGCTCATAAAGAATCCACCTGCAATACGAGAGACCTGGATTTGATCCCTGGCTTGGGAAGATCCCCTGGAGAAGGGAAAGTCTACCCACTCCAGTATTCTGGCCAGGAGAATTCCATGGACTGTATAGTCCAAAGGGTCACAAAGAGTCGGACATGACTGAGCGACTTCCACTTCAAAGTCTTTTAAGAATAACATATTTCCATTAGTATTTGGTCTTCTGCATAGACAAATATTTAGCAAAAATTTTAAATAGGACCAAAATCAAAAGCTTAAGGTCTTCTTTTGATATCTTTGAATTGCCTTGTCTATAAAATTTTATAAGAAATACATACTGTGCTTTTGACCAGAACAAAGACTCTTCTATTATTCTGCCTAAGATACCATCTCTACATTTTCAATTTCCTGGTTTTTTTGCTTTGAGTATTTTCTCTTTCATAGGATCATCCTCAGAAAGAACAGTGACTAGTTATTGAAAGCAAGATGGAGTTTCTGAAAAGAAAGCCACACCACATTACTCAATGTCTATTTCATGACACTCTCCTGCCAACCTCTGCAACATGTCATCTACTTTTTCAAACTCATCCTGGGGACCTATGTGGAAATTGAAGTTTGAGAATAAATTTATTATGGAAAATTTTGGATATACTTAACCTGCTCTAAGATTCTACATAAAAGAGTTGGCCAATAGAAGATAGTGCTTTACTCTTGGAAAGGAAGATATTATAGATTTCCCATGCCCCCCAAAAAAAGCTTTTGAAAAGATAAAAAGAGGGGAAAAGAAAAGGAAAATAGGGTAATTAAGCAGTTTTCACAAGTGAAAAAAGTAAATTGATCTCTTATTATCTTGCTCAATCACTCTTTGACACCTGTAGTATAAATTTAATACCCTTACTTTGGTTAAAAAGATAAATAATTCTCCTCCACATCTACATTTATAACTGTATCCTTTAAATATACATCACACTGGAATTGCACTAACATACTTACAGTTTTCATATATGCCATCACATTTCAAGATGTCATGCTGAGAGAGAGAGAGATCTCAAACTCCAGTTTCCTTTTGCCTTCGTCTGTGACCCACTCATTCTTTACACTTTCTGAAAGTCAGTAGTTACTGAACTTTCTCTAACCTGTCTAGGGAGGGTTTATTTTATCTTATATATTTAAAGATTGTTTCATGTGTCTTCACCAAATACTCAACATGTTATATCCAAATTGTTTTTTCATGATTTTTTTCTCTGATAGATTTGACAGACTCAATAATAAAGACTACAACTTTTCCCTATGTATCCTCAAAACAGAGCCCAATATAAAAGGACCTACTGTATAGCACAGGGAACTATGTTTACCACTCTGTAATAACCTAAATGGGAAGAGAACCTGAAAAAAAAGAGATATATGTCTATGTATAATTGAATCACTTTGCTTTACACCTGAAACTAACACAACATTGTTAATCAATGATACTACAATGTAAAATTTAAAGTGAAAACAAAACAAAAAATCAGAGCTCAATGTTCAAATAAATTAGATATATGGAATATAAGGGCTTGATGAGCAAAGAAATGAAACAGTCCATAAATGAATTAGTAGTGATTTCAGTTAGACCTTGACATCACCTTGGTCCCCTTTGCAAAGCCATTGCCTCCTAAGTAAAAATACTTTCTGTGTTTTTCATATAGTTCATAGTCTGCTTAAATTTTTGTTTTCTTTCTTTCTAATACTGCATCCCTATATTTTCTTCCATTCAGCTACCCTTTCTATCATTTGATCACCTTTCTATTTTCCACTATTAATAACTGGGGGAAAATATCACTGACTCCAAAGAAACACCAACAATTTTTGTATTTGTTCTACATGTGAATGACTAGATTTTCACTGTTCTTCTCAATAAAAATTAAAAAAAATAATTCACATTCCTTCAAATCAGAGTTTATTGCCCAGTGATATGCAGGTGTCTTCATTCTCAGACATATCTCCAAAACATCAATGATTTCTGGGTAAAATTTGCCAAAATTACCTTCCCTGTCATAATGCCCCAAAGTTTTCCTTCCACTTCCTATAAACTCTTTGAACCAGTATAAAGTATACATTGTTTCACAGAAAAAATGTCATGTTGCCTTATTCATGGGAAGTTTAGCTATTTCCTCAATATGTATGACCAGTGGTCTTTCCTTTTTACATTAACCATGACCTCAAAACTTTGGTTCTTATTAAGATCTCCATCCTCCTAGGGATCTAATTACCACACTGTGCCCAGTTCTTGTCATAATTTCCTCAATTAGTAAGTAGAACTATGGTAATACACTAGGAAAATTAGTTGGTCATAGAAAAGGCCTTCTCTAATATACCATGGAGATTAGTTGGTTTCCTCCCGTAAATTCTCTGGGGACTTAGAGAGGTGGAGGTCTTCTTGGTCATATTTGTTAAAACAGACAGAACTAACTTCTTTGAGTTTCCCTACCTAATGACTAATTTTTTCTCAGTTTGGAAAAAAAATATCCTTTTCATATTCTCATTTCTGAAATCTAGAAGAGAGGAAGAAAGGTACAAAGAATACAGGACAAAATATTAGAGTGGCAGAGGCAGCATAAGTTTTTTGGACACATGAAAAACTCCTTTTTTCCTGGAATATAATGTGAGCACGATAAATATTTCTTTAATGAAAAGAAAATAGAGCAACCTAGATGTCCATCAGCAGACGAATGGATAAGGAAGTTGTGGTACATATACACAATGGAATATTATTCATCTGTAAAAAAGAATTCATTTGAGTCAGTTGTAATCAGGTAGATGAAACTGGAGCCTATTATACAGAGTGAAGTAAGTCAGAAAAAGAAACACCAATACAGTATATCAACACATATATATGGAATTTAGAAAGATGGTAATGATGACCCTATATGCAAGACAGCAAAAAAGACACAGAGGTAAAGAACAGACTTTTGGACTATGTGAGAGAA